AGCAGCAGCGGCAGCAGCAGCAGCAGCAGCAGCAGTAGCAGTAGCGGTAGCAGTAGCAGTAGCAGTAGCAGTAGCAGTAGCAGTAGTAGTAGCAGTAGCAGTAGCAGTAGCAGAAGCAGAAGCAGAAGCAGAAGCAGAAGCAGAAGCAGAAGCAGAAGCAGTAGTAGTAGTGGTAGTGGTAGTAGTAGTAGTAGTAGTAGTAGTAGTAGCAGCAGTGTAGCTAGTGTGAGGAGGAGGAGCAGCGGCAGCACTGACTGGTAGTAGTGCGGGTGCTCGTAGCAGTAGCAGTCGCAGTCGTGGCAGCCCGAGGACTTAGTCCTAGTCACTAGGAGAAGGCAGCAGAAGCAGCAGTACTCCGAGTAGCAGCGCCAATGATGCGTGGCAGATTGGCAATTTGAACTGCGCCAATATAAATCACGTTGAGTCAGGCCTCTCGGTTTGAGGGCAGCCTGTTAAGGGCACAGGGGAAGATGGGAAAAGGAACCTTCAAGATGCTGCATATTTGCAATATGTAGAAGCACTCGGTAGTGTGACAGGCCATGGCACTTCTACACAGAGCAGCTACCCTTCTGATGGGAGAGAAACGATTCCATCCATAAAGCTGCATCCCAAAACTATTATCTGTAGCAGCTGTTTTCCAATTTGCTAGGTGCTAGACTCAGGTTTTGGTCAACATATGGCTGATCAGTCATGTCTCGATGGTCTCTCGCAGAATCGTCTGCTCAGCAGCTCAGGCTGTTTGTGTTAGTCGTCGCCAATCATGGAAATTGCTTTGCTGCCCACCCTGCAGAGAACATGAGTGCACGGGGAGAACACATGCAGCTTGAACAGAGGGGAGGTGACAAGAACACTGTGACATGGTCGACTAAAACGACATCAGTTGTAGTGGCACTGCTGGTCAGAGGGACATCAGCAGTATGCTCGAATGATGATCTTGCTTGTGCTGTGGTGATGGTGGTGATGAAAGTGAAAGTTAGGTCAAGGTCGGGTCAACCCGGAAGCCCGAAGGCAGAGGGTCGCAATTGCGAACTTGCGACACTACCTCGCATCAGTCCTCGCAGTTGGCAAGAGCTAAGAAATCGTCAGTCTTCCGTTTGCAATTTGTGTCGTTCCGGAGGTGACCGCATGAATTATTTCTCATTGCAGATCGAGGTGCACCTTGGGAGACTGTAATGCCTGGTGTGGAAGCAGACTGTTTGAGCTTGCTGTTCCTTTGCTGTGGATGCAAGTAACAGCCTTGCAGGGCATCAGAGCCTTCCGCCTCCAGAAAGAGCCGCAGGCCTACGGACACTGGGCGAGAGCTTTCTTTGCTCAGAGTAATTACGCCTGGGCTACCGTGCGGATTAAGAGCGAGGGTTCAGAAGGCTGTAGGGAGCAACGCCACTGCATATTTTCTCGTGCCTCAGCAGTGATTTCCTGCACGGGCGTGGCAAGTTTAAGCTGGTTCCAATGCTGGAGGTGGTGTATGCCGGCCGGCTGGATGATGTAGCGCCGACAGTGCAAGAGGCCCGTGGTCGGAAGCTGGTTAGCTGCAGTCGCAGGTTGAAGTGACATGCTTTTGTGCCCCCGGCTGAACTTGTCAGGCAGATGCAGACCAGGCTTTTGTTGATCCAGAAGACAGGCCAGGCATGCCAGCTCTTCTACAAGGTGCTAGCTTATTGTTTCAAGCAGACATGACACCCCCACGCTATTGGCATCAATTTCAACGCTTGATTGAGGCCCAGAGAGGGCCCGTACAACGGCCTTTGGACACGGCCAAAGACGGGTGCCGAGGCCTTTGTGTCGTGTAGCGTCGTTTATACTCGTATCGCGGCAGAGAAGTTGATCCTGATCTTACAGTACATCCTCTTTTACGCATGTTCCTCCGTTGTGTCACTGAGTGTCCCGTTCAGGCCGTGATTGGCAGTGGCTTGGCCTTCAGCCTCCTGCGAGTCAACGGCTTCAACGACCATCCAGGTGGCAAGTTCCCAGCACCTGGTCTTGAATTGTCGCACACGGATTCGAACAGCTTTGGTGGGCAACGTTTGGCTGATGATGTTTCGCGACACTACTCCGTAAGCAAGTCAATCATGCGTGCATGTGTCGATGCACGCCGGCTCGCACAACGCATGCATTCCAATTGAATGCGCATAGTTACACCCACACATGTGCACGTGCAGCTGCACCAAACTGTGCGTGCACACGTGCGCCCTGCGAGAAATCGGCAGATGCGTGTAACGTGTACAAACAATCGTTGCTTGCTGCTTTGCTGTGCCTGTGGTTCATGCCATGTAATCTGCTGATCGCGTCGCTGGTGAGATTTCCGCAAGACAGATACTCACGTGCTTTGCTTTTCGTGTTTGTACAGGCTCACACATCGCAGCGATTGAGAAATTCTGCTCCTGAGAAGACACTGAGGTGGTGCTTAACCAGGCTCCGCTGCATAGGCCGGAAAGAACGGTCTGACAGTTGGTTCAAAACATGTGCGCATGGAGTGATATGACATGTATGGTGTCAGCGGCAGCTTTAGAAAGACATTTTAGCTCTGCAGTGTCTGAACTGTGATCCCGTCCAAGCCGGGTGGGCAGGCCGCATCTGTCCTTCCATTCTGAGCTGCTCGGCATCGGTTCAGAAATTGACCTGGTGCCCTCAAGCAGGCAGTGTCATTATCAATCGGGCATGAGGAGGGAAGACGCCACCAGCAATCCATGCTTTCAGCAGAAGTTCCCGATTTTAGGACTGTCCGGTCCATCTCTCGTGGAGATGTGGCTGCGCTGCTGGTTTCCGCCATGTCAGAGCCGAACTGCGTGAACACCGAGATCATTGCAGGCATCTGCGGAACTAGTTTATGTAGCAACTTTAAAACATCACAAAGTCGCAGCAGCCCTTGCATGCCCTTGCTGCAGCAGTGTTGTCCTTCTCGAGAACAACCGTCTTGTTCCACATGATTGATTTTTCGATTGATGCGAACATTGCAAGCAGTATGTCATATGAGATGATACTGTAGTGTGTCATAGTTGTCGCACATGCTGGAGCTTCATGCGTAGTATACAGAATGTACGTTGTTCGAAGACAAACCCACACGCGCACTCTCGCAGATAAATGTAGGCCAGTAAATGTATGTACGAGTATGCAAAAGTACACCTCGCGGCTCTGGCAGGGCGAGAGGGGAAAAATGTACGTATGCATGTACGCATGCATGAGGGTGTACATGCCTTTATATTCATATGTATCACTGCAGTAGGACATAACCATGTGAGCATGTGCGTTGGTTCAGCGTACAAGGTCATATGGAGACTCGTTCACATGTAGCTAAGCTGCGCGGACATATTCACTTCACATGCAGAGAGGCGGACGGGACAGACAGAGACAGACAGACAGA